CACGAACCTGCAGAACTTTCTGGACAACCTAATACACTGGCATTCAAGGGCTTATTGGTCTGTGGGCTAAGGTGAAATCCCGGAAAGTAGTGACATAACGCTAGGTGGCAGAATCGTTGATCGCTACCAGACTCGTCGGGACGATACAAACGTCGACTCGTACATTGGCTCGCCTCTGCATGTTCTTATACAGACCACATTAGTGTAGGATGTACTTTAGCAGCCCCGTTGCAAGCGTGGAAAAGTGGCGCTGCAAATGCTGTAACGTGCTGTCACTCGTCCCAAACCCCAAATGACTCAAAAAAGCTGTACACTCACCTACGTGGATCCTAGTCTTTGCCGCGAAAGGAGTGGGTCCGCAGCTGCAGTAGCGTGTCCCTTTCTCCGTTCAAAAGTTAACGAGAACGAGGGTCCAAGGAGTAGTGAAAACCGGATGTCTTCTTCCGACTCCGCCGCTCTATCCTCAACCGCCCGCTCTATCCTCAAAGTGCAGCACTTGTGTCGATACCGAAGTTTCTCAGCAAGTACGCAATAGATGTAGGGAACAAGTAGAAGTGAGGAGGCGCAGGCAAGTAACGCGCTCGGCTTTGGTTAGGCGTGTGACCGGCCGTACGGCAGCGCGGGAGGAGTGTCGGACGTGTCGAGACTGCATTTGAGTTTCTCTACTCTCTCTCTCTCTCCGTTCTCGTGCTCTCTTGAGCAAAAAAACATGGGACGCTACTGCAGCTACGTACCAATTTACCTCCTGAATGGCAGGAACCAAGAGGTGTTTGAAAAGGAAATGGCCTACTAGCTCATGCGCGACACCGCCATTTGGACCTGCTGAAGTACGCGTACGCCCACCATTATTTATGAACGTTATAAACTTTCGAGCTTCAGAAAGCCTTGATCGTTGGAAAATATTCTTGAAGTGGAGTAATTCACAGTATCGGTCGATTAAAATGACACTAAATGAGCAGAGTAACTGGGTTTGGTATCTCATGGTTAGCAGTGCCCATAGTGCTTGTACCGTGCACATCCCTTCAGCGGGATTTGATCCGCAGGTCACCGCAGGAAGGTGAACACTGCTACCGCTATTCACCTTACGTGGAGTTCTACGACCAAGTCGGAGGTACACTGGTGAGTTTTTCAGACTATTTCCTAGGGCCAAACAACTACTATTCTGCTTAGGGAGCGTAAAACCCCTAATGTGCAGCCGTAGCATCTTCCTTAAGCACAAGGAGTGCGAGGATGCGAGATATATTCCGCAAGGGTTAATTGGGTTAACCCGCGTGGGTTAATTGCAGAGGTAACCGATGAAGAAGTTCCATGGTAGGTGTGCTGCAGAGAGATGGAAGGCCTCGTTGGTTTGAGCGGATTCGTTGTAGGAGTTGACGATAATCTCACGACGGTGTGAAAGCCGCGCCGCTTACAGTTCATATCAGAGTGTACCTCCATACGACGCCTGCGCGTCCCTTATTATGCATACCCTCCGTGCCATGGAGAGGTGCAGTCGTGTACTTAAAATGAGCGGAGCTACGACTTTTCGTGGTATATTTCCGTTCTGAGGTAGACAAATGCGGTCACGTCTCGTCCAACACAAAACAGTGTACCAATTGTCCCAAAGAAACATCCCGCGGAGAGGGCATACCACTTCATGTTCAAATGATGTGGACAGCCGTGGCCTTCTCATCTCTGGTATATGGAGTGCAAGTGTCTGCATCATCTCTAACTAAACCCCCGTAGTTGTCACTGTGCTCGCAGCTCCCTGCTTAGGAACACCCCTCTTTGCCCCAGATATGCAGCGCTTTCGAAAACCCTCTCGGCCATGCCGTCCTTTAATACTAACTACAGTATTGTTAGGGAGTAGCCTGACTTACCTCCTCCCCACGTGGCGGCCTTCAGCGTGAGGGCGAATGTCACAAAACGATTTCCGTATTCTCGAGTTTTTTTGCTGTATTGATCTGGCGAAGAGTAGGTGATGAAGTCGTAGTGAGCGGCATGATGCCCTCCTTTTCTATAAGAAGTTACCTAAAGAAATATTAGAAGCCTTTTAACTCACCTGTGTGAGGCAAGAATCGTGAAGTCAACCTACTTCCCACGGTCCGCTAAGACTGAAATTGAGCATTGGAATGAGAGCCTGTGCCCGACGGAATACCCTGGCAACACCTTTGCCGAATTTGTGTGGAATAGTAGTCGTGTTAGCCTTTCGTCTTTTATAGGTTTTCAAGTAATTCTTCATAAACCCTTCTTCGTCGATACCTTTCTAAAAAAATAATTCATTAGTAAAATGGCCCAATCAACCAAGCAACAAATTATGAAAAATTTCGCTTTAGTATCGTCATGCGCGACCGCGCTTAAGTGCGCCGGCGCAACGTGGACCTCCTGGCTTTCATACGCAAGCGAGGGATGTATCCCATACAGGCACGGATGCTGAGAATGAAGCCGCTTCTTGATGCCAGTTTATACGTATGACTGTTACTGGTATAATTCGTCATATCCGAGGCACAACATCCATAAGCAAACCTAGCTTGTTGGCCCGACAGCAGGGCACGTCCTGCTGCAGGGGAAAATTTTCGTAAAGCACGACCCCACCCTTTCCCCACTAAGATTAATACTTGCTGCTTCCGCAATATCGTGAGAAGGTACTTGGCGCCGCCCAACTCAACTCCCACTACCGCTTGCACGAGAGCTGGAGCGGAAAACAACCGTATATTGAGAGAATGCCCCAGTCGAGAGGAAAGACCATGAGGAGACGTTTTCTTCTCGGAATACTTCTGCTTCTATAAAAACGAAATGCAAATTGAAGGCAGAGCCCGAGATTGCCATTCGTGTGTAGTGGAGAAGATGAAGATGAAGATGAAGATGAAGATGAAGATGAAGATGAAGATGAAGATGAAGATGAAATGAAGATGAATGATGAAGAGGAAGGATGAAGAGAAAGATGAAGAAGATTGAAGAATGAAGATGAAGATGAAGATGAAGATGAAGATGAAGATGAAGATGAAGAAGAAGAAGAAGAAGAAGAAGAAGAAGAAGAAGAAGAAGAAGAAGAAGAAGAAGAAGAAGAAGAAGAAGAAGAAGAAGAAGAAGAAGAAAGAAGAAGAAGAAGAAGAAGAAGAAGAAGAAGAAGAAGAAGAAGAAGAAGAAGAAGAAGAAGAAGAAGAAGAAGAAGAAGAAGAAGAAGAAGAAGAAGAAAGAAGAAGAAGAAGAAGAAGAAGAAGAAGAAGAAGAAGAAGAAGAAGAAAGAAGAAGAAGAAGAAGAAGAAGAAGAAGAAGAAGAAGAAGAAGAAGAAGAAGAAGAAGAAGAAGAAGAAGAAGAAGAAGAAGAAGAAGAAGAAGAAGAAGAAGAAGAAGAAGTAAGAAGAAGAATTGCGGAGAGCCCGGCACCGAACGGGAAGGCCGTACGACAGCTGGAGAGTGCTCCTAGAGCCCCTTTCGCTAGTTACCTTATGTCAAACTTGACAAAGGAAGGATCCTCTGCATAGGGGCACACACTTCACCTGTATCAAGGACGGGCTTTCCTGGCATCTGGGTTGACGTGCGACTCTGGCTTGAGGCGAACACATAAAACAAAATAGCGGTGGTTTTAAGGGCAGTTTACCGCGACTCACGCGATTCGCGGAACTATCCTTTTGCATTTGCGCATCCGGTGCCTGGTGCTGTGCAATAGGGGTAGTAGACTTTAGTCACTCGAAAGGGGCGACGATGAATACAACCAGCAACGCGTGACCAACTCAGCTGGTTTTTTCGTTTCTTAAGACAACGGCTTACAACTTGAGACCAGGACAATAACTTCAGCTTTCAACCTGCGCAACGAATGTTGTATATGGGTGATAGGAACTCAGTTTCCAATCTTTTGAGTTCGGATAACTTATGTGTAACATCTCAGATTGAGATGGGGCAGTGGCAATGATGTAAGTACCTAGGGACAGGTCATAAAATTGGATGCATCTGGTGATATCCCTAACAAGTGTAAGTGTAAGTGTATCCTTAGGTACTTGTGGCTCTCGTCAACGGAGACAATAAACTGTGGCCGACCGGCCCATCTAGCTGTCGATCTGTTGGCTGATGCGAGCTGATGCAACAGTCTGGAGTTGTCGCCTCGGGTCACGAAGGGGTGAACATAACGGTCTCTCCCGGAATCGGGAGGGGAGTTTCCCATTGTCGTCGTGAACGACTTGGAGATGGAATCTACGTGGTAGAGGGCTCCCCCTGGCTCAAGGGAAGTGTCGCGACGATGCGAGCTTCAATCTCCTGACTCGGTGAAGAGCGCGATCTTTCCTGTGTGGAAAGTGGTGGCAGTAGTCAGCCGCACGATTCGGACTGCAAATGCCTCTGGCCTAGGCCGTGGTTTTAGCACAATGGTCGTTTCGTTTTTGGTTTGACAAAAGGCAGAGGATGGTTGGACGTCTCCGGTGTTAAGAGTTGCCTAACATCCTAGATGGCAGGAGAGTTGTGGATAATACCCTTTCCCTTTGCTTGGTTCAGTGCCTAAATCTTGTGGCGTAGATTCCGGCTCTTTTTATGCTTTGGTTGGCTTCGCCATCCAGGAATTTGTACACAAGGTTTGATAAAAGGTCAGCTATGAGGAGTGATCTGTTATGTAATTGAGACTACCCAGTGAAAGTTATATGCCCACTCGAGAGCGTTGATCACGAAACCGCGGGAATTACGTGGGAACTGTTCGGGAACTTAGGGTTTTTCAAAGCCCATAACGTTCAACCAGCACGCAGCTTGGACAGACACCGCTCACACGCGTATTTCCAGACATGTATGGCCTTTTTTAGACCTACAGTGTTGGTGACACGAATTCCATGATGCTCCTCGCTGTGAATGGTAGTTCAAATTTTATGCAGGAAAGTGGAGTCTTGTTGCTCTTACCTGGATGCCGACTCTTTATAAACAAAACAAGCGCGACTTCAGCTCCAATCTTCAGCGAGAAGCGTTTTTAGGCCCCCACTCAAGGCGACTCTCCACGATAGTAGATATAAAGGCTGTAACCTCTCAAATGGGTCAGACGATCCGGTGGGCGATTCTAAAAGATATGCTCACTTCAAAAAGTGAAAAATGGCGAGGAATCCGCAGGAACCTGAACAACAGGGTCAATGGCGACAACCGAAACAGCGCACACCAACCCCTTACTGTGGCTGCATAGCTATTGAGGGGTTTGAGGTGCATAAATTCCTATAGCCCGCTATGTTTGATTCCTTCCGCTATCTTCCGTGCCATGGATGCTTCGGTATATTCCGTCATCACGGGTGTGCGTGAGCGTTCGCGCTACTTATATACTGTTTCTATCACATCTAGCTAGTCTCACTGCATCCCACCTTCGATTTGCAGGCCACAATGTCCCGCCCCCACGACTTCTCACTGTAACAAAAATGTACCGTAGCTGGCGCCACCCGGAACCGCGGTTTTGCTTGATCGATTCACAAAAAGAACGCTTCACTTTCTCACTCGACATGGATTACTGTGAAGACAGAGTGGGCCTCCTACGATAACCCTGTGAGGAAGCGGGCAGTGGGTCGACAAAGGAGAACAGCCACAAGCCACCCCAAAGGCCGACCTTCACCCCAAGAATTTCTCCTGTCCCGTTGGTGGTCCAAAAGAGGCATGGAGTACTGGGAGCTGCTAGAGAAGGGACAGACGATTGACGCTTCCACGTATGTAACCCAGCTGTCGCACATTGAATGATCCGTCGGACCGTACTCGTGTGAATCGACTGCGTGAAATCTACTTCACCATAGGAACAACTGCCCCGACCCACGCCTGCAAAGGCGAACACGAAGACTGCGAGCTGGACGAAGTACGGATGGCTGCATGGCGCACAGCCACATAGAGCCCTTGACATCCGCTTCCCATGTTGACTACTCGCTGTTCAGCCACGCTTGCAGCGTCCTTCTGGACGGAAAAAATTTCTAAACAAAGATCAAGTCAGAAATGCACTCGGACCGAACTTTCTTCAAGTCCAGCCCCGGTTCGTTCACAAAGGAAGGTAATCGGGACTGACAGCCTGCCGGTGAACGACCTGGTCGAGTAGTGGATGGTGATGGTGCATACCTCTAATCTTCAGTTTGCTTCGCTATTGAGATATTTACGAAAAAGTCGGGGCTAAGAACTTATGCACCAACCTTAACACTAGCTGCTAGCCGCTTTATTATCCTCTGTACCTTACATGCGGCTGCGGCATGTGCGCGCAAAGAGCTGATATTGCTCTGATAACGGGATGGAGATTCTACAAACATGCCCTCTCTTTATTGTATGCATACAAGGTGGGGTCGGCATAGACTCTTTTATAAGGCGCGGGCTTCTTCTCCTTACTAGTCAGTAATTAGCACCTTGTCGGTCGATCCGAACCCGCGTTACCCCTCCCGACCTAACTGTGATTCCTTGCTACTTTCCAGCAGACGCAATACGCAGCTTCTTGACAATGTTTGTCTCACCGCACTTCCATTCCGGGCACTTTTTCTCGGTAACTGGATGACAATTAGCTACTCTAAGAGCCGAGGTAAACGAACTTTGGTTGTCAGAGGAGCCGGCTGAAGTGTCTGTTGGCAGCAAATACTGGGGCCAATGAGACTGTAATCTGCGCAGGTCGCCTTCATCTAAGGAGGTATTTCAGATAGTTGCTTTTTTTCCCCAATCAGAGAATCAGCAGTATCGGCTACATAGTTCATAAGTGAACAACCAATCTCCATAATACTCGGTCGCGGGCACTGTTTTCGAAGTCTTATTTTGAGGTGACGACCCTCTCTTTTCGGTCAGGTTCAGTTGAGTACTATAGAGCATAGCCCAACCAAAGGTAGGCATCGTTTGGCGCTCAAACCAGGACTGCTGGAGCAGCTATCTTTGACTGGTGGAGCGACGTTTTAACTGCGTGTACTGCAAGGCTCCAGCAGCCAGTTTGGACAATTCAGGTTCAATTTCGGTACCCATCAAGACGCCAGCCACGCGCGCGCTCGGACCGCATCTGTTACGGAGCTACAGGAATGCGCATGTGTGATAGAATTTCTTATGTTCGAGTTTGGCTCCCTAAAACGAGAAAGCGCTGACAGAAACTGCAATCCCAGTAAGGTGTCCATCATGAAGAAGTCAGCTTTTGATCATTTTTTTAATCCTCTTCTCACTTACAGCTGAGTCTTTAAGGACTCACGTCATCGAAAGACTTCGATCTTAACCGGTCAACTGTTTCTCTGAGCCTTTCCTCCAGATCGTGCTTATATGGTGAATCTTTTGAACGCTTAGAAGAGTCTTCCGGCGTTGCACCTCCAGGATTCTGAACAGTAAAAGTTGGAAACTGTTCTTGTCACTATAGAAAGGTCATTTGGCCTAAACTCCTTCAGAACGCATTATCACAATCGACTTGGTCGTTCGCACCGGCCCGTCACGCAGTCTCTGGTTTCGCGGCACGTGGTTTCACCACATCGCGGCAGAGGAAAGATACAGCATAGAAGAGTGAGCCACCATCCGTCCACTTTCGACCCCGTTCGTTGATAGGGGTTTTCGAGATTGCTTATCCAGTTTCACTCGATTCAAAACACGATTGTTAGTCATCAATAACGACCACTTCACCACCTGATCGTATGGGGCGGAGACGTGAGTAGAAAGTAACTTTCTACCTTCATTATCGGTGCGTTCCTCTATTTAAGTTGAGGAGGTGGCTGAGTGATCCCCTGAGCAAGGTGCGGTGCTCCTGGCACGCATTATCAGCGTAGGCTATCAAAAAGCAGGGATAGCTTGTGGCAACAGAATTATTGGTGGACCACAGGTTCTAATAGTTGTTGGTCGCTCCAGTGGACCCCCTGGTCCTGAAGTTTATTTGATTTTTTTGCCTTTTGATTTTTTTTACCTGTTTCCCTATGGTCTCGGCTGTAAACAGTATCTACCAGTTAAGCTTCGCCCTTATGCATGCCCAACGTTAAAAGGAAATGCTGCACATTTCTGTGAAATCCTGAGTCTTTTTCTAGGATAACCCCACCTTTTCTAGTTGTATAGTTAAGCTTCGGTGCCTTTGCATGAAAAGTGAGTAAACAGTTTGGCCTGAAAAACCTTGCCATGGTTATGAAATAACTCCCACTGTTATAAGAAAAAAAAAAAGCCAGAATCTTTCTGATTGGATTTCTTTGTTTTTTTTTATACTTTTCTGCATAGTACTGTCTGCTCCTCGAGATTGATTTGCAAAAAAAAAGTAATATCCTGTAAAAAGCATCGAAGCAGCTTGAAAAACCACTTCGTGGCTCAATACTGTGCCGTCTTAGGTACAGAACCACACTAAGCGTAGATTTCTTTTGCAGGGGGGCGGAGTTTCGGCGACGGAGGGGGGGGGGCACTTTCGGGGCTGCTGCTTCACTGGTTCCGCTTAGCAGGAGTCACTCTGGTGAAACCTGTCAATTTTAATTTAATGAAATGAATTTCATCACTAATTTACAGCTGAGCGGTATACCAGGTCCCCGCTCTACAAAACATCGGCTTGTTAATGTCTTCAAGGGGCTTCACAAGATTATGGAGCGCCTTTCACTGATGGTCAA